AAGTTTATAGACCAGAACAGAGATAGCTGGAATTCTGTTTGAAGATATTTTTGATGTAATGGACATCAATCCCGATGGCAAGAAGTTTTAGACTGACTGACTGAAGGATTTAGACTGACTGAAAGTAAAAATGTGTCAAGTACCTCAAGGCTGTTTAATTTGTAGTTTGCTCATACCAAGCAAAAACAGCTTTGAAACTTTTTTTTATCTTCAAGCTGTTTTTGCTTGGCATGAGCAAACCACAAATTAAACAGCCTTGAGGTACTTAAAATATTTGAACTTGACATGTTGACAGGATGCTCTGGCAAATATTTTAGGAAATTAAAATATTTTTCTCCCACTTCGCAGATGGGACTTTATTACCCAGCATCCCATAGGCAACCGTTCTATATTTGCTTGGATGGCAGTAAACTAAAATGTGGACGCTCAGGAGACATACAATTAAATTAAGGGTGAAGAGGCAGCTTTTGTGTGCAGCACAGACTTCTCAGTGTCAGTAATTGATGTCACAGGATGGAGATGGAACACTGCCAGTGACTCACACAGACTCCTGATATGTGCGTGGGAAGTCTTAAATACATCTGAATGTAGTGATGCTGTAGAATAAGCACGTAGGCTTAAAGAAAGAAATTGTATGAGTACCACACAATTTATTATAGGAATATATATGTTGGAAGTCCAACTGGAAATATTAAATTTGAATGGTATACTGTATGGTTTTTTCTTGAAAGCCATTTAAGTACTGCAGCTTCAGAGTCTGGAGGAGATTTTGTCTTGATCAGTAACTTAAATGTAACATTTCCTACCTAAACGGTTTTGCATCAGAATATTCTTGCTGGGGTGGAAAAGCCACTGAAACAGCTTTTTAAGTATCACAGGACCCAGGATGATTAATGTTTGTACCTCTGACACACTGTAAACTGTAGAAACTGTGGGTTATTCGCTCACATGCCCTGCAGGTGAATGGCTGGAGTAAATCATGTATGTAAATTCGTTTTCCCACTGGTGGCAACAACAGCCTTGGTCCGGAGCACAGAAGTGACAAAGTGCAGCTGTAACCTGCATTAAATCAGAGGCCATAGAATAACTGGACCAGGCATGTTCTCCTGTGGAATAACTTATTTTGCTACCACATGATTTTCTGGCATACTTTTTTTGGAGTTCATACAGCTTAAGCTTTATATTTTGAGGTTTTCCAGTAGGCTACAGCTTGTGTAGTAATTTGACTGCTGTAGATGTATTTTGTAAAGAGCTGTCTTTAAAATAACTTTCTTTGTCTTTTTAACCTAACTTACCTTGAGTCTTCTCTGCCTTCTCAATAATTTCTACTCATTTTACTGTGGAAATCCTACATAAACTTGCTGAAAATGACTCTCTTTTCAAAATAACATCATCATATCTCATCTCCTCTGACATGTGTGCACTAACTCTTCAACGGCAGTGGGGGTTCAGTGCTTGGGACTGTGTCATGCTTTATGTTAGTCCCCCGGAAGTGATGTAGGTTGGGATTTAACTGCGCAGGAGCATCCCGGGGACGTTTGCCTTGTGCAGTGTTTGCGGATCAGGGCTGCTGTTTCAGGCATTACCTGCTCAGGGAGTGTACCGCTCCGTGCGCACTCACTGTAAAGCTATGTTAACAATATGCATTCTTATTTTAAGCATTTTCCAAACGGGCTGCGGACAGGCTTGGTGACATGTCCCTGCGTACTCCTCTAATTGGAAGCACTGCACTCGGGATTATAGCTGCGCTGTTTTGGCAGAGAGAGACTACAATGAACGTGTATCTGCAGGAATCATGAAGGCGATCAGTCAAAGTATAGAAAGAGGATTATAGCAGGGCAAACACGATGGATAACCGACGGAAAAGGAAGCTGACATACTTCACCATTGGTCTTCTGTTTCTGCTGAGCGGTGTGGAATATGGTAAGGTGCTGTTGTGGATCATTATTCTGGCGTTCGCCCTTTTAAGTCCCAGTAATTGATTATCTGTATTAGAATGGGACAGAAAAAATGATCTTATGAGTTAATAAGTTCTCTTCTCTAATAAGACCATACACATAGGCTACTGTCATTTCATTTTGGTCAGGCTATTTTAAATAAAGTTATAATGAATCATAATTACTGATATCTTTCTGATGGTTGATGCTATGTTTTTGTTTTTTTTTTTCACTGTGACATTCATTTTAGTGACTATGGAACATACTTGGCCTACTGGAATTTGGTTAATATGTTAATTAGTGTTGGAGCCTGTTGACATTTTACCTCCTCTGAGGAGACAGCCATTATGAGCCTATCTGAGGCAATGAGTGAATCAATGCAGCTTCACTATTCAATCAGTTCATCTCACTGTTCCATTGTATTGTAAGCACATTTTATCTACACCATCTGTTTAACAAATTAAAGATTCTGCCTCAAAGAACCCCCCCTGTGGAATTTGTGTGGAATTGTAGAATAGGAAATCTTTCTCAGGCTGTTAAAACTTCAAAATAGCCTAACACCAAACAACACCAACACAACCTTGATGTTTTTCCATAGATCAAGTTGCAGAACAGTTGGTATTTAACTGAAAGGGTCAAGGGTCAGCACATAGTTTAGGCCCTTATACAGATGCCTCCTGAGCTATGATTGCAACAGGGTTTGCAACACCTGTAGGAACATGTTATTGATGTGTGAATCTGAAGTGTCTGGTCACTCGATACACTGCACTGCAGTGTAATATATTCCTGCGATGATCACTACTTGCAAGTAAAATGTTCAGTTTTTGTTGAGACAAGAACTTGTTTTTGTGTTTGCCTTGAGGATTTATATTAAAATATGTTATATGTGTTATTTTCTCCTTGTCAATTGCATATATTGGCAAACTAGAAACGCTTTACAATACAATACAAAGAGCCGTTATATCAACGCCACGCTTACACTGCCATTAAGATTCAGAACAGTAGTATTTATTATAGGACTGTTGTATTTGATTGCATTAGAGAGTTTTGGTCCCTCACATACATATAGTTTCCCTCCCTCTCGCATATAGATATCTCTGTCAGGGTGATGAAACAATGGCAAGGCCACCCAGATGACAAGAAAATTTCAGCAATGATTGCTATCTGGAATTCCCGGACCACAGAATTGAATTAGGATTGTATTGAGTCAGCGATACCCTTTGTCTATGTCACAATAAAGCTGGAAGTGAAAGAGCTACCACAAAGAGTTCAGGCAGCTATTTCTGCGTTACTGAGCATTAATAGTTTAACATATTTAAGTTAAAAAATATCTTTTTCCAGACCTTATACAACTACAAGTCTAGTTGTCAGGAAGGTCTGATGGTAGGTACAAAATATATATGGATTAGTTTATCAATAATTTACTGTTAATTAAGGCAAATATCTACAGTTATGATGCGTATTCGTATCGCTCCGCCTCTGATTAATGTTACGATAGGGCTCAGGGCAGTCACAGGGTTTCAATAAACATTGGGGATGCAGCCTGGGTGATTACGCTCACTTACAGGCAGCCCAATGGAGCCACAGTATGGTCGATCAGCTCTGATCTAAGGACTCAGCATCACTCAAGTCAAATCAGACACTGATATATAACAATACTTTACGAGAAAATGTACTTATACATATATTTGCTTACTTCTGTCTCCCCAGCTGTAATATTGCCCACAATATGGAGGTACTTGCAGACTTTAGATGCAGCGCCTTACTTTCTGGGTCTGGCCCTGTCAGCATTCAGCTTGAGTGGCCTCTTGTCGGGCCCGCTGTTTGGACACTGGTCTGACAGGACAGGGGCCACAAAGAAGATCATCTTGTTTGCAAACCTTTTTGAGATAATTGGTGAGTCCACTCATATTTTCCTATTTCCACCACTACTTGCTTTAAAAGTATTTAACCCCTTGAATCCCAGTACTATTATATACTGAACTTTTTCTTTACTTTTGAATACTAAATAATAAATAATACTCTTTTTACTCTGCAGGTAATTTCATGTACTTTATGGGCTTCTCCAAGTGGCTCTTATTGTCAAGCAGACTGGTGGCAGGTGAGTCTGCACAAAGTGACACTGTGACTATTTATTCATTTGGTTCATTCATTGGTGGCAAGCCAGTAGAATACACCCCGCATATCAGTGCAGCTTGGCAAGATCATTATGTAAAGGTACACCCAACTGAAAAGATAACATTTTAAATTCACTCAATAGCAGCCAAAAATCTCAGAATTGAAGCTCACTGATACTATACTATACTGATACACTGATACTGATACTGATACAACGAGGCACAACATCTCTGGCCTCGTGTATTTTAGGAACA